GACGCGCGACCTACTTACCCTCCAGCCGCCGCTTCTCCCGGGCCAGCGTCGCCGCCGACTTGTAGCGGCTCTCGTTGTACTGCCCCATGACGGGGCAGACGTTCGCCGCCTTCGCGAGCGACAGCGCCGTGAAGAACCACGGCCCTGGCGATTTCTCGGCCGCCGGGATGAGATCCGGGGAGCGAGGATCCGGCGCCCCGAGGATGACCTTGGCGCGGCGGCGGCAGGTCGCGCAGTGCGTGAGCATCTCGACCAGCGCCGGCCGGCAATTGTAGCCCTCGGGGATCTCGCACCCGAACATCTCGCACCCGCCACTCGAGCCGTCGCAACCGCCCGGCAGGTAGCACGCGCGCCCGTCGCTCTTGACCCTCGCATTTTTCGCAGCGCTCGTCGCGCGATTCGCAGCCGCCGCCTCCGCGGGCGTCGCGTACTTCCGGATGCCTCCACTCCGGCCCTCCTCGACCGCCTGCGACGTCGCGGTCGGGAACGCGGGACGCGCGGCGGACGCCGGCGCGGCGAGCGGTCGCGCGCCCCGGGGACGCCGGCGCGCGCCTTCCGGCGCGGGTCGTCCGGGCCGGTCCACTTGAACTTGCCGTCCTCGCGCGCCTGCGACGCGACGGCGCGGTCCGTCGGGTGCGCGGCGCGCCGTCGAGCGAGAGCGACGTCAGGGGGAGGTGGGGGACGCCGGCGGGGGCCTTGGCGTGCCCCTTCCGGTGCGGGTCGTCCGGGCCGTCGCCCCACTTCATGCGGCCCTCCTCGAACGCCTGCGACGACGCGGTCGGGAACGCGCGACGAACGGTCGCGTGACGCGCGGCGGACGCTGGAGCGGCGAGCCGTCGCGCGCCCCGGGACGCCGGCGCGCGCCTTCGTGCGCCCGTCGACCGAGGCGTCGCGCCAGTCGAAGTTGCCCGCCGCGAGCGCCTGCGACGGCGCGGTCGCGAACGCGACGAACGGTCGCGCGACGCGCGGCGGACCCGGCGGTGCGCGCCCGCCGGTTGGGCGAGTCCTCGCCCTCCCAGAGCGCCTTGGACCGCGCCGACCGCGCCGCGCCGAGGACCTCGAAGGCCGGGCCGAGGCGCCGGAAGCAGTTGGCGTAGAGCGAGGAAGGGGCCGACGTCGCGAGCTCGAGGTGACCCATGAAGGCGTCGACGGCCAAGTCGCTGCCCACGTAGAGCTCGAGCTGCAAGTTCAAGGACTGGTAGGCTTTGTCGTCCGGGTTCGACTTGATCTGGTCGATGTCCGCGGGCGTCTTCAACCGGAACGCCCTAAGAAGGCGTCCG